TCTGGCTGGAGGGGTGCATGCCTGGGGGCCTGGTACTTTAGACCAGTCTCATTATGGGGTCATCTGTTCAGTGTTATTCTCTTTCCCATTTCAGGCACACCCACCAAGGCTCCCCCCTCCCCCTTCTAGTTACAGCTGTTTGTCTTTAGTGGGAAAGGACTCAGGGCCTCTCCAGAGAACAATTACTGAACCAGCACAACAGGCCACGTAAAGAACAGATGCACGGTCACATTTCTAGCCCGTTTCAGTGTTACACTCTTAGGAGTCTCCCTTCGATGATGCCAGGTGAGACTTTTTTTCTGCACCCTCGGATGCATCAGTGGTGAAAAGGGGCTTATGAGGACACAGGAAACATTTCCAGAAAGTCATGGACACTTGGGAAATCAATTTCAGTCTTTTTCTGTGTGTCAGCTCATCTTACAAGTCCCTTCACATGTTTGGGGTAACCACCTTGGATTCCTCTGTGTCCGCTTCTTCATGGCAGTGACAAGGGGCAGCTGTACATGGCAGGAGGGGAAACATACTTGATGCAGCAAAGCAAAAAGTGTTCAGCAGCTTCCCAACTGGCAGCAATAGCATATTCATATTCAGAGGTAGACAAGATCAACATATGCTAACATGGGGATGGGGCCAGAGTGGTCTCCCATCCGTGATCCCAGTTAGTAGGTTAACCTAATATTTAACTGATAACAGTTGGGATGTAAAATCTCGATTACATAGTGAAAGGATTTTACTCCTGGCTTTTAAGAACCAAGACGGTCACTTCTAGTCTCGCAGGATCGGTGGGTTATAAAGGGCTCTCACACCTTTGAAGACAGGGTCTCAATTCTTGATCAGGAACATCACTAGCCCCTGTGATTAGTCACGGGAAGGAGTAAAAATGTCCAGGCTGTGTAAGGCCTCTGCCCCCTATTTTCAACTTTCACATTCAGCTTGTGTCATTTCATCCATTTTCCAGTCCAGCTCCCTTGGGCAAGACCGGCTGGGAATTTCTTGTTAAAAAGAAAAACCCAAAAAGCTGAGTAGGGTACAAGCCCATTCCCCCGCCTACTCACCAGAAGGGACATCCCTAGACCCAGTCCTCAGCAGGTCAGTCCCCTCCTGACTTGCCCCCAGTTACACAACACAAAGCATTTTCAGTGAGCTTGTGCTACTCAGACACCCCCTTGGACTGAGTCTCTATAGCAGTGGTGCGTGGGGCCCAGCAGACATGTTGTTACCGTTGCCTACGTGCAGATCCCGCTGGTTTCCATCCAGTTTTTTCCTAGTGGTGTCACTGAAGTGACATGCACAGAAAGCCAGGGCCCGTGAAGGGAGGGGTGCAGTCAACACTGACTGGGAGAGCCGTGCGCGCCTCTTCCAGCCCATCTCAGGCTCGATTTATGAGAAATAAGGGGTCATGTGAAAGAGGGTTTTTTCCGACATTTGGCCCCGTCTACACAAGGCCAAATAGTGGCAAAACTTCTTCCACAAAAAGATTTGGAAGATATGCAAATACGAGCGCAATTTGCATATCTTCCGGAAGATATGCAAATACGAGCACAATTTGCATATCTTCTGGAAAAAAACAGCAGCATAGCCGTAACCACAGTGCTGCTCCGGTTCAACCAGTACATCCCATGAATTCCAGGTGCAGTGCAAGCACCGTGAGCCACTCCCCTGTCCTGGGAGACTGACTTGGTTACAACCAATGTGCGGCCCACTGAGCTGACAAAGGACCCGCGACCCACTCACTAGCCATGAGCCCACTGAGATGACGGAGGACCCGCGACCCACTCACTAGCCATGGATCCCCAGACTTTGCTCCACACCCCAAGCAGAAGGGAAATTCGCAAGGCCCTACCCAGAGGGCACAGACACAGAGTTGGTCAGAAGCCTTTTTTTATTTACAGATAGAAAACGTTTTCCCAAAGCGTCATCTACTTCAGAGGAATGAACCTAGACGAGTGGGTGGCTCCGATACCAGGCCTGCCGTGTTTCACTGGCTTGTAAGTGATGGAAAACTCACCCAGGTAGTGGCCAATCATCTCGGGCTGCAAGAGAGAAAGAGAAGGTGACTGTTGGGGAGGGCGAGCCGGGCTAGTGTGACAAGGTGCTGAGAGCCTAGAACAGGGACCTTGAGGAGCCTCCGAAGACAAGCTGGATTTCATGCCAAAGAGCCCCAGGCACCTTTCTCAGGTGCCTGGCGCAGGTAGAGATGGGCCGGCCATTAGCAGCCAATGGGTCATACAATTCATTCAGCCCTCGTTCTGGTCCCAAATTCAGTGGAAGAGCAATGAGCACGTGCCAGCTTTCAGCCACTTCTGCTGCGACCGAGCTTGGCATGGGATTGCTGTAGCCGACTGAGGGCTCCCAAATCACCACCCGAGTGGCATGGGATTGCTGCAGCCGACTGAGGGCTCCCAAATCACCACAGCTGTCGAGACAGCCGCACAAACGTTTCTGGGGAGTGTGCGAGAACGTTCCCAAGTCTCTGCGCTCATAGAAAGCTGCCTGCGTGAACTGACACACTGCATCCACAGGCTCCAACACCAGCATGAATTTTTTTAGCCCAAGCCAGTCTCAAATCTTCCCCTTCACCACATTCAAACACACCCCTCCTTCCCCCTTCCCAGGCAGCACTGCGGCCTCTCAGATCAGACTCCGTCTACGCTCCCGACTTCTCTGCTTCCCGGCTGGGTCTGTCTGGGTGCAATCCCTGGCATACCCACGTATGCCAGCAAAGCTTGTTTTGTCTGGGGTGGGCTAATACCACTTTGTATTAGTTGCGTCCACACTAGGAGCCCTTGGCTGGCAAAGCATTCCAAGCTAACTAGGATGGAAAAGAACTCCTGGTGTAAACTCGACTTGAGCAATGCTTAGGAAAGTACAATCCACACTGACATATGGCCAAAGATGACGGGCAAAGTAGGGATGTAAAACCCCAGTTAATTGGTTATCTGGTTAGACAAATTATTTAATCCGCTAACCAATTAAAAGGAAGCAAATGGGCAGCTCCAACATCCGATGGGTGAACCTTAACCGGTGAGCCTCATCCGTTAAGGGTGAGACTTACCAGTTAACCCTTCACATCCCTACTACAAATGTCTGAGAGACAGCTGAGTTAGTAGCCTGCGTGTCTCCCACCCATTTCATTTCTTTTAAAAAAATCACCCCCCAGAATACAACTCAAGCGTTCCCCCATCAGCGTGCCCCAGCAGGTAAATCTCCCTTAAGCACCTGAAGGGGGTTTCAGGCTGACTCAGATTTCAACCCCAAAGCAGGTCGGCAAGTTGTTTAAAGCCGTCTTGTAACACCAGAGCGCGTCACATAGCACCCGCTGGCTACTTCACCTCCCGTGAGCCCTGCAAGGCGGATTTCTCCACGCAGCACGGCACCCTGGCTCTGTAACTGAACCCTAGCTCTGCCACCACCAGGCATGCAAAAGTAGGGGAAAGGGGGTGCGGTGGGCCTGCCCCCAAGGTGTGTCTACACTGCAAGCTGCAGTATGTTCTGAACACCCACCAGCTAACCAAGTTAGGAACAAACTTTTTATTGCTCTGCGGAAGATCCTTATTCACCATTTCTCCCAACTACCTCCCTGGTACAGCGCAGCCGTCTACAATACCAATTCCTTCACAGAATTAGCAGAGGGCGAGCCACCTCCTGCACATCTTCGGCCCAGGGCATACGGGGAGGGGAGTTGGGGGGAGCAGCAGATGTCACCTCATGCTAACAAAATGTTGATTAAAAAAGGGCTCCCGCAACAATCTTTTCTAGGTGTGAAAGGCTCAGGTACAAAGACACTGCTCCAGAGACAGAACAAGCCACTGCTCCGACTGGATCCACAACTTACAGAGCAAATGGCTTAACACTTGCACAATCAATGCCGTGCAGGAATATTCGTGTGTAGCGGGGACAGGGCCTACACACGCAGGAGAAGTTTCTGCTGGTATCAGAATCCTGGTCAGTCAGTTAACTAAAGCAAGCTCTGGTCTGCAAGATGTGCAGGCTCCCCACGGACAACGGCTGCTCCGGAA